GCTCCGGCGTATCCTGGTCCTATGAGCCTATCTCTGACCATATCCGACTCAGATCGGACCTTTTCCAAGCCTTTCTTATTCTAGGGTTCTTCTGAAAGCCTAACTATTCGAGGTTCTCTCCGATTTTTCTTAGATCTGTCACGTATCTATGCTCTACTTGGGTTTCTAAACGATTTCCCCAATTTTTCTTTCAAAAAATTACTTTTAAAATCACTTCTCTTTGATTTAGGGTTTTCTGAAAGGTTCAAAATGTTTCTCCGACTTTTCTTTTCCTTTCTTTGTGTGTATTTGTCTCGCATGTGCTTCTACTGTGTTCTTATGTTTTCCTTTACTATACATGTCCTTCTGTGCTTTGTTTTTCTACTATGATACCTATATGTTCTTTTGCTATACTTTTCTGGTATTTTTGTGTTCTTCTACTGTATGTATTTCCTACTGAGTTCTTTGGTTTGTTTGCCTTCTACTGAACTTTGCTTGAGTTCTTCTAAAGGACCTCTTTAAACATATTTCCACTATTGTGTTCTTAAGTGTTATTATTTTCTCTTCTATTGAACCCTGCTTAAGTCCCTTCTAAAAGGTTTTTCTTAAATATGTTTCTTCTACTACCATTTTGTTCTCTCATTAATGCTTCGAGTCAGTTTCTTCACTCTGTTTGCTATGAATTTTCTGTTGTATTTGCTTGTCTTCTCATGAGATTCTGAAAAGAAATCTCTGAGCCTGTTGCTTCCTCATCTCTGTACTTGACTCGAGGTGGAAACCCTAGAATTTGGGGGTTCTGCCGAGGTTTGATCATGTGATTGAACTAGGGTTCTGTTTGAGAACCCTTGACTCTTTCGGACTAATTTCTGAGTCTATGAACAAAGTTTGAAGTTGTTTGTTTGCATACAATTCTGAACTTTTTTTTTAATTTATTCTACGCTAGACTCTTCTACTGATTGGCATGCTAGTTCTTCGTGTTTAAGCGTGTCTGTATGCTTTTATATGTGTGATGAAACTTTCTCCAAAAAGGTTTTCCAACTTATGATGGATTCAGAATCTTTTTTTTTAGGGTCTGATTGATTGATACTGATTTTCCTTAAGTAAAACCTTTCTCCCCCTTCTCTAACTAGATTCATTCATACCAAATTCAAACCTTGTGATTTACTGGCCGTTAATTGGTTGTCTTTCCTTAAATTGTACAACCGTGTACTGTCAAGACCTTGTCCTTAAATAAACCTCTATGTATTTACCCCTCTTGTACTACTTTGAAAAGTGTTTGATTAATCTCTTTCCTTAATTAGTTTTACCCGTTTGAAATCATAAGCCCTTAATTAAAGGGAAACCTTATGTAATTGATTTTCAAACTATTTTCTTACCTATTTCTGCTTGCTTTCTACACAATAAAAGGCACGACCCTTTCTACACAATAGACACGGTTAATTCAACATTTTTACACTTCAGATTTCACACATACAATCTCATAAAACTCATACTTGGGGTATTCTTGCTTCTTGTCTGCACTTTGGCTTTAGAAGACTACTGCTTTCTTTTGCTTGATTACTTGAGACTGGTATGTTCTAGTTTTTGTTTCAGCATCACCCCAATGTGTTTTACTTACAGCCTTTACATCCATGTTTACTTTACTGTCTATATGGAGTTAAATGTTAACTAGCATGTTAATTTCCTTTCATCTATTTCTGCTGTGAATCCCTACTCCCCTGCTTCCCTCTATGCGCTTTGAGTTGTAGTTCAGAATATGACAATATGCAAGTTATTGTTCATATTTTGACCTGATCCCTTTAGGGATCCTAACTACCAAATCAATGTGTTCTAACGGGCTGGTGGGGTGTGCCAGCATTTCCTATTGCCAGGTATGCCCACTAGCCTGTCTTTGTCACTCCCCTTTTCCCCTTTTCAGAATTCCTTCTATGCACTTACACTCACTCCTAGTTTCTAAGTTCTTCCTCCCTCCTGTGAGCTATGCCTTGGGACCTTGAGTTCCCTCTAAACTTGGACACTTGAGGGCTGGCCTTTCCACACTGCACTATGACTCAATCTTGCAATGTATTTGGGTGTGAGCACTGTCCGGAGTCCATAAGGCTCTTAGGGAACTCTGACACACCCTAAATGAGAAAGGCTTTGGATCTTGGTCTTTGGAGTTGGTTTACTTCATGCTTCAGGCAGGAAGCCTGAATCAGGCTCTCCTTGGTTGTAATTTTATTCTATATGATGTAATTTCTTTATTTTATTTTGGTCTGTAACAATTTTGTAATAAACTTCTAGGGTGATTAGTGAAAAAAGGAAGGCTAACCATGCATGCAAAGGGGTAGATATCATGTTCATAAGGAATATTTACACTTCTACACTCATGTATCCTGTTTTCAGCTTTCACTTCTGCATCTCATATAGAGATCATGTCTATTGGTTTCTGCACTTTTGCACCTCATATAGAGACCATGTCTATAGGTTTCTGCACTTCTGCATTTCTACAGAGACCATGTCTATAGGTCATTTCTGAAATGCTGCATATCATATAGATAATATGCCTATAGGACTTCCTGAATTTTGCATCTGCATCAGTCACTAGGCAAACCTGTTTATAGGTTTAAATAACTAACAGCATTTTAGATACCATGCCTATAGGACTTCTGCACTCTTGTTTCGATTAAAAAAATGTTTTAAATCAGTAACGCCTAGAAAGCATGCCTATAGGAACCATCAACTAAATCTGAATCGTCCATTCGCTTATGAGTCTAAAATCAGTAGCAACAATATCGACTGCAAAATTATATTCCTGTAATTGACAATTTCTTTCCCTTAAAATCAGTATACTTCTTTTCTGAAACTAATAGATATCATGCCTATAGGTTTTCGTTTAACACTTAGGCAAGCCATAAGGTAAACTTATAAATTGAATCAGATTTTATTAACTACAACCAGCAGGCAGGCCTGATTCGGGCTTCTTATCTGAAATATGTAATAGATCAGTCTACCACAACTCTTAAGTTTAATCAGACCCTAATCAGTACGTGTAAGACATGCTAAACTATATGCTTCTCTTTGTTTTAAGGAGGTCTGTTTGAGACTTTCTATCTGTTATGTGCTTCTCCCCAAATTTGCTATATATGTGTTTTGATTGTCGCCTTAGAATTTTGTACTTTGAAACTATAATACCTCACACCCCTTCCCTTTAGGATTAGTAGTCCCAAATACCTTCGGGACTGATAGGATTGGGGCGGGTAATAGCATGCAATAAGTAAAACGAGACCATTCCGCATTTAATACCTTAACGGGATGGGAAAGGGTAGATATGGACATGATGACCACGCGATAACACCACGTGTATAAACGGTTACCGGGTGTTATGTGGGGTGATCCATATTATTTATAAACCTAGGACCCTCCTCCCTTTACTCGTTTATTTTATTTCAAAACTGCTCCTTTTTTTCTCAAATTCCAGCTTCTTTGACTGCTTTTAACTTCAATTACTCGCAACAATTATGTGAAAATTCCCCTCTTTTACTTGTTTATTCAGAATTTTTAAAACTGGTTCTTCTCAAATTTCAGTTTCTTTGACTTCGTTTAACTGCAATTACTTGCAACAATTATGTGAAAACCCCTCCCCCCTCATATTTGTAACTCCTATTTGTCTATTTATTGTTTGCACTTAAAGTCACAATTATAGTATGGCCGGGAACCACACTAGTGGATCTCGAGGGGTGCCTAACACCTTCCCCTCGGGATAATTTAGAGCCCTTACCCAATCTCTGGTTTTCTAAATCAAAATTCTTCTTAGTGATTTAATGCACTTAATCATTAGGTGGCGACTCTTCAATTCAAACCCAATTCTCAAAAGGAAACGAGTTGTCCTCCCAAATGTCATAAACCCGATTTCTCGAGAAAAAGGGGGCATCGACAGGATCTAGAACACATCTAAAGAAACATAAGAACCACAGAAGCTAGGGTTTGGTGAGAAAGACTTGGATCATTGTTGATCTAACCAGGAGGAGGCGAGGCCAGGCTCAAAACAGACGTGGCTTGCCGGAGCGAGGCCGGAGATGGCCATAAAACTTGAATCGAACCAGGTCTAATGAAGCTTCTTCGTGTTCAGGCCATAAAACCCCAACGAACAGGTGCATAAGAGCAATAGAGGGCCGGTGGGTGGTGAAACCACCATGGACTCAGGCCAGGAGGTGGCCGGAGAAGATGGATGAAACTCATCGGAGCGGAGGGGGAGGGGGAAGGTTCTAGAGAGAAACAGAGATAGAGAGATAGAGGAGAGGGTCGGTTGAGTGATGAATGAGAGGGGTTTGGGGAGGGGGAGTCGTTTGGGCTTAATTAGGTGAGGGCGGATCTAGACCGTTGATCAAAATTGATCAATGGTCAAGATTTGATCCGGGTTGGGTCGGGTAGACTTAGGTTTGGGCCTGGGTCTTGGGTTGGTTTAATTGGGTTGGGGTATTGGGTTTTAATTTAGGCTAAATTAGAAAGCCAAAATCTGGCTATAAGTTAAATAGCCCTTTTTGTTTCCCATTTAATTTATAAAAATAGTATATAAATTTCTGAAAACTAATTGGAAGCACTAAAATGATTTATAATATATAATTAATAATTTAAAAATACAGGACTTAATTTTATGAATATAAAACACAATTGAATCTTAAAAGGGCTAATATTACAATTATATGCAATTTAGCTTAAAAAATACTAAATAAATTTGTAAAAATATGCAAAAAATTACCTCAGCTATATCTTAGCATAAATATAAAATTCTAATAAATGAATTACCAAAATAATAATTTTGGAAATATTATTGGGTTTTTATGGATGAAAAGGGAAATAAATTAGTTTAAAAAACCCTAAAAAATTATGGGAAGAATAGTAAAATGCTGGGACGTACTTATATATGCATATATATGCTATTTTAAAGATAATTTGCATATAAGAATATACAGGGAAAAATTGGGTATCAATACCATTACAAAATTCATAGGCATATCATGTTTTTTAGATATTGACCCTTATCTTTGAAATTGATCGCATGCCTTGACCATTCGATTTGCGTCTTGGTAGATCGCTGGCCAATAGTAGCCACATTCAAGCACCTTTGCAGCCGTCCGGCTTCCTCCATGATGAACCCCAACTGGGGAATCATGGCATGCCTTGAGAATTGGCATTACCTCATCTTCCAAAACACACCGCCTAATGATGTTGTCGGCACAAATTCAGAACAAAACGGGTTCCTCCCAATAGTATTTCCTACATTCCCGCAAGAACTTTTTCTTTTGATAAGTCTCCAATCCATCGGAACAAGATCACTAACCAAAAAGTTGGCGATGTCGGCATACCAAGGAGCGAATGTGCTAGACAATGCCAATATGTGCTCATCTGGAAAGGCATCATTGATTTCAAGGTCTTCTTTTGGTCTCCCTGCCTCTTCGAGCCTAGATAGGTGATTCACAACTTGATTTTCTGTCCCTTTCCGATCCTTGACTTCGAAGTCAAACTCCTGCAACAAAAGCACCCACCGAATCAATCTTGGTTTGGCATCCTTCTTTGCCATAAGATAGGATGAGCAGCATGATCGGTGTAAACTATAACTTTGGAACCCAACAAATAAGCCCGAAACTTTTCAAAAGCATAGACAATGGCGAGAAGTTCTTGCTCAGTCAACGTGTAATTCATTTAAGAGCCATTGAGTGTCTTGCTTTCATAGTAGACAGAGTGAAGGATTATGTTGTGTCGTTGACCAAGCACCGCCCCAATAGCTACACCACTAGCGTAACACATGAGTTCAAATGGAAGAGACCAATCGGGTGTGACAATAATAGGTGTCGTGGTGAGCTTTTCTTTCAATTCCTCAATAGCCTTTAGACACGTCTCATCAAATACAAACTTTGCATCTTTTTCAAGGATCTTGCACATAGGATTTGCAATTTTTGAGAAGTCCTTGATAAAACACCTATAGAAGCCGGCGTGCCCCAACAAGCTTCGGACGCCTTTTACTGAAGTGGGCGGAGGAAGCTTGGAAATGATTTCGATCTTTGCCCAGTCAACCTCTATGCCTTGTTTTGAAATTTTGTGGCTCAAAACAATGCCCTCGTCCACCATGAAGTGGCATTTCTCCCAGTTTAGCACAAGGTTTGTTTCTTCACATCTTTTGAGCACTTGTCTAAGGTTGTCAAGACAATGCTCAAAGGAATCACCCATTATAGAGAAGTCATCAATAAACACCTCTAAGAATTATTCTTCCACCATGTGCGAGAAGATTGACATCATGCATAGTTGGAGAGTGGCTGGGGTGTTGCATAGCCCAAATAGCATACGGCTAAAGGCCAAAGTCCCATATGGGCATGTGAATGTTTTCTTCTCTTGATCTTCCAAGGCGATGTTGATTTGGTTATAGCCGGAATATCCATCCAAGAAGCAATAGAATGACCTTCCCGCTAGCCGATCAAGCATTCGATCAATAAAAGGCATAGGGAAATGGTCTTTGCAAGTAGCACTGTTTAGCTTCTGGTAATCCATGCAAACTCTCCATACGGTCACTGTTCTCGTTGGGATGAGCTCATTTTTGTCGTTTTGAATCACGGTCATGCCTCCTTTCTTTGGCACACATTGCACCGTACTCACCCAAGAACTATCGGCAATGGGGTAGACCACCTCGGCATCTAATCATTTGATGATTTCTTTCTTTACCACCTCTTGCATGGAAGGGTTTAACCTTCTTTGATGCTCCACACTTGGTTTTCTCTCTTGCTCCAATTTTATCTTATGCTCACAAATTCCGGCGGGAATTCCTCGGATGTCCGCTATTGTCCACCCAATGGCTTGCCTGTGCTCCATCAAAACATTCAACAATTGTTCTACCTACACATCATTCAAGAAAGAATAAACGAATAATGGTAGAGTGTCATTAGAGCCAAGAAATTTATACTTCAAGTGCGGTGGAAGTGGCTTGAGCTCAAGTTACGGCGGCTCAATTATTGAAGGCTTGGCGGGAGGAGTGACTCTATTCTCTAAGTCAAGAGAAAGTTTCTTTGGTGCATAAGTGTAGGACCCAAGTCCTTCTAATGCATTCACCGATTCCATGTACCCCTCCATATCTTCACCATCAAAATTTACCAAAATAGCCGCCAACGCCTCACCAAGGCATTGTTCTTCCATCTTCATCTCAATTGCGTCTTCTACCTCATCAACAACATCAATGACTGAGATGCTTTCATATGCATGTGGCAACTTCATACCCTTACTTGCTTGAAAGGTAACCTCTTCGTCATTAACTCGGAACTTGATCTCATTTCGTGCCGAATCCATAAGTGCTTTTCCGGTAGCAAGAAATGGTCTCCCCAAGATGATAGGGATTACTTTGTCAACCACACAATCAAGGATCACAAAGTCGGTGGGGAGGAGGAACTTTCCCACTTTCACAAGAACATCATCAACAATCCTCACCGATCTCTTCACTGAACGATCGGCCATTTGCAACCTCATGCTTGTAGGCCTCGGCATACCTAACCCCTCTTGCTTGTAAATAGCAAGAGGCATTAAATTGATGCTAGCCCTATTATCACAAAGAGCTCTTGCAAACTTGCGCACCCAATAGTGCATGGAATGGTAAAAGCTCCTGGGTCTTCTTTCTTTTGACTGGTGGTTGTTGCAATGATGGAACTAACCCGGTGAGTCACATTCACCACTTCATTCTTGGTGCTTTTCTTCTTGGTGATAAAGTCTTTCAAATACTTAGCAAAAACTGGCATCTCTTGAAATACTTCCACAAATGGAATATTTACCGATAGTTGCTTGAGAATGTCATTGAAATTCTCGAGTTTGCTATCATCAACCTTCCTAGAAAGTCTTTGGGGAAAAGGAGGAGGAGGTCTAGGAATTGGTGCTAGAGTTTTTGGTGCCTCTTTCACCCTTTCCTTAACCTCTTCTCGGTTCACTTCTTGAATTTTTACCTCTTCTGGGACTTTTTCAGCTTCAACAACAACTGGCACCTCAACTTGTGCCTCAACTTCTTGTTCAGAATCTTCCACATCGACCACTTGTTCATTTTCTCCCTTAAGTATTTTCCCACTCCGAGTTGTGATTGCCATACAATGAGAAGTTGGACTGCTCCCACTACCTTTTGGGTTTGCAATTGTGTCACTTGGGAGTGTGCCCTTTTGCTTCTGATTCTGCTCTCTTGAGAGATATCTCATTTGCATCTCCAACTTTTGAATAGATGCGGTATGAGAACCGGCAAGCTCGGTCATATTCCTCATTGAAGTATCAGACCTATCTTGATTTTGCAATACTCGTTCAAGCATGTTTTCCAACTTGGAATCACTTGAAGAACATTCCTTCCAATGCGGAGAGTTGGAATATTGTCCCTTTAGTGGAACATAGGGGTTTGAACTTCGATTTGAAAAGTTTTTGTTGTTTTTACTCCAATTCCCTTGATTTGAACTACCTTGGTCATTTCGCCACTGTTGGTTGCCTTGCCCTTGCGGGTTAGGCCTCCATTGGTTTTGTTGTCCTGAACCTTGATATGGTTGCCTTTGATAACCTCCTTGAGAGTTGTTGACATAATTTCCTTCCTCGTAATCCTCATTTGATGTGGGTTCAACATCTTCCACCACATTCACCTTTTTTGATTGGCTTTTAGTGAACATCTTTGTCAACACATTGACGTTGGTGGAAAGCCCGGCAATTACTTGATCTCTTTCTTGGTTCTCCTTAATCATGTTGGTCAAGGAAGGGGTACCATATGCAATTCCACCCGTTGTGTCCACTGAGTGCCAAGCTTGGTTATGTTTTGCCATTTTGTCAAGGATTTGTGTGATCCTCGCAAATGTTTTATCCGTAAAAGATCCATCAGCTGCATTTTTGGCTATAGATTGATTCATAGCATCCAAGCCCATGTAGAATTTCTCCAAGATAGAATCCGGAAAACCATTATTCCGCGACCTAACCAAATATAGCTTGACTATATCCCATGCCTCATGTAGATGTTCTCCTAGTAATTGCTTGAAAAAGAAAATTTTATCCCGGACCTCAGACTTCTTGCTTTATGGGAATCATTTAGCTAGGAAAGCTCGGACGAGTTCAGGCCAAGAATAAATGGAATTTGGTGGTAAATTTTGGATCCATTTCCTTGCCTCTCCAGCCAGTGAGTACTTGAAAACCCTCAATCTTAGGGCATCATCTGAGACGGTGTTCTGCTTGTGCGTCGCAAACACACCCAAGAAGTTTTTGAGATGTGTCGGATCATCATCGGTGGAATTTCTGAAAATCCCCTCTGCTTTGAGCATTAGGATTAAACTGTGTTCCACCTTGAAAGTGGCAGCACCAACTCTTGGAGGTACAATAGCATTTGTATCCTCAATGTACTCATCTATGTCCGCAAAAATATTCTCTTCTATGTCATACCCGGCCATGTTTTCCTATCAACACCAAGCAAAGCAAGCAAAGTGTGATGGAACAGATGAAGACGTAAAGTAAAGTACACACTGATTAGTAATTTCAAAACCGTATTCCCCGGCAGCGGCGCCAAAATTTGATACGCTCAAATTACACTTTAAATCAATAGTGTAAGGCGGTCGGTGTCAAATATAATAACCCAACCAGGTTGGGGTCAAATCCCACAGGGAATAGGTGTGAAAAGGTTATTTGAGTAGTGTGAAACTTGACTTAAGCCGTAATTCTATTCCTTTAGCTGAACAAAAGAATGATATATATAACAAGATAACTATTTTGTTATGAGAATGTGATTAATTTTATTAAGGAAACCAAGGTTGTGTCCCCATCAATGAAATGTATTGCTATCGGGGTTAAAATGATATATTTCTAAAGGAAGGTCCTTTGATATACAAATGGTTTCTAAATGACTACCCAATATTTTTCAATTCTTGGGTAGTATTTTCTCTTTATAATTTTCCCAAATATAAAAGAGTTGCAATTGAGAAAAACCAATTTATACCAAGTAGAACCCACTTATTCCTAAGCGATTCTATTAAACAAGGTTTAAAGTCTTGACTTCTTGATATTCACTTCTACCAAACCCTAACCCACTTTTCCAAGTAAAGCAAGAGTAAAATGGAATAAGTTAATGTTTGCAACCACCAACAATAAATAAAGCACAATAAATGAATAAATATCAACCAACCATTATATATATATTCAATGTTAAACACCCATTAACATTACACCATTTAGGGTCCACAACCTTAGTATTTAAAACTAGCTACTCATACTAAAATACAAAAACAAAGCAATAAATAGAGTCATAAAGCTTACAAAAGTGCAAGATTCTCTCTTCACAAGCTTCCAAATTAATGGTGTAATCAATGCCTTTATGTAGTCCCTTTTTCCGACTTCATGCCCCATAAAAACCCTAGGAAAGCTATTTATAGTGGACTAAAAGTTGGAGTCAAGATTGGACAAAAATGCCCCTGCAGACACCTTCTACGACCGCATAATGGTCGCAGACCATGTATGCGGTCCGCATAATCATCATTTTCATCGCAGATTTGTAGATCTTCGATCCCGAAAATCCATCGCATTTGCATTATGCGAGCATATCAGTTATGCGGCCGCATTTTCCATCGCAGAAGTGCTACGCAAATTCTTCAATTGCAACTGTGCGGTCATTATGCGGCTCGCAGAAGTGTTATGCGACCGCATAACGGATCGCACAATCTTCTCTTCATTTGACAGAACAGATGCTTCAGTTTGCGGTGGTTATACGGTCCGCATAGTACTTCTGCGATCGCATACTTGCAACATTCCTACTCTTTTGTGGCTCTTTTGACTACTTTTCCATGTGTTTGGGTCGTCAAGTCTTATGCGCTACAAAACACCAAAACTTTATAAGATTTAACTACAAATGCATTGAAAGATGAACTAAAGTCTATGTACTTGGTATCAAAAGTGCCGAAATTCTAAGGCACATTAGGGGGGGTCGGGGTATTTAAAAAAAGAAAAAACAAAGAAGGGAAAAAAACAAAACAAAATAAAATAACTAATTAGATGCCCTACAAACGTCGCCCAGTGTGCGACCGCGCATCTGTGGCAGTAAATTCTGAAAATGCGTGGCCATATGCGCGGTTAATGTGCGGCTGCGCACATTGAAATTGGGTTTTTTTTCAACGTGAGCTACTTTTGGCCCCTCTTCAACTTGATTTCTTCACCCCAAGTCACTCCAACCCGCACAGTTGCATCCCTTCACAATGATACACCTGTCAATACTTCCACAATTCAAAATCAAACATGAAAAATAAAGAAAAACACAAAAAGAAAAATTAGGTTGCCACCCAAGAAGCGCTTGATTTAACGTCGCCGCACGATGAATACAACATTACAATGGGTTGTCTCCCATGAAGCGCCTGATTTAATATCGCGGCTGTCGATGCCCCCTTTTTCTCGCGAAATCGGGTTTATGACATTTGGGCGGACAACTCTTTTCCTTTTGGGAATTAGGTTTGCAATTTAGAAGAGTCGCCACCTAATGATTAAGTGCATTAGGACACTAAAAATGAATTTGATTTAGAAAATCAGAGGTTGGGTAAAGGCTTGAAATTATCTCAAGGGGAAGGTGTTAGGCACCCCTCAAGATCCACTAGTGTGGTTCCCGGCCATGCTACAATTGTGACTTTAAATACAAACAACAAGTAATCAAGCAAGCATTGTAAATACTAGGTAACTTTCACATAACGGTTGCAAATAAAAGAAGTATAAGAGGTTTAAAGAGTGCTGAAATTTGGAAGAAGGTAGTTTTATAATTAAAGAAAGATACACAAGTAAAGGAAAAGGGGTCAAATAACTAATGCAAGTAATTCGAAAAAAAAAGTGAGAGAGGCGGAAGTTTGGGGAGAAACAGTACTGAAAATCAGACAATTAAAAGAGAGATTTTGCATAATAAGTACAAGTGATTGAAGTAAAAGAAGAAGTTAAAGAAACTGAAAACTAAAAACCTTTAAAAATCTGGAAAAAGGAAGTAAACAAGTAAAGAGGGAGGGGGGTCCTAGGTTTATAAATAACACAGATCACCCCACACAACACCCGATAACCATTTATGCACGTGGTGTTATCACGTGGTCATCATATCCATGTCTACCCTTACCCACCCCGTTAAGGAATTAAATCGCGGAATGGTCTCGTTACTTATTGCATGCTATTACCCGTCCCAATCCTATCAGCCCCGGAGGTATTAGGGTCAACTAGTCCTAAAGGGGAGGGAAAATTGGCTTTTAGAGTTTTAAAAAGGACAAAAGTCTAAGGCGACATTCAAAACATACATGACAAGTATGGGGAAGCACATAACAGACAAGGCTCAAACAAACCTCCTTAAAACATAAAGAACATATAGTTTTAGCATGTCTTCCAGATACTGATTAGGTCTTTAATTAAACTTAAATGTTAGGGCGTGGCTGATTTATCACATATTTTCAGATAAGAAGTCCAAATTAGGCCTGCCCGCTGGTTGTAATTATTAAAGACTGGTGTAGTTAATTAATTACCTAATGGCTTGCCTAGGTGAGACCTGTGGGCATGATATCTAGTAATGCGAAGTATACCGATTTTAAAGAAAGCAAACATACACTCTGCAGATGTTGAGTATCGAAATTGTTGATTTTAGGCATGATTCAGATTCAGTTGATTACCCTTATAGACATGCTTTCTAGGCGTGATTGATTTTAAAATGTTTATTGAAACGCGAGAGTCTTATAGGCATGGTATCTATAATGCGCTTTTGTTATTTTAAACCTATAAACCGTTTGCCTAGCGATAGATGCAAAATGCAGAATTTAAAAGATCCTATAGGCAGGTTATCTATACGATGAAAGAATGCAGAAGCCTATAGTCATGGTATCTATATGAGTGCAGAACCTCAGAGGCATGGTATTTATATATGCATAAGTGCAAAACTATAAGCAGGATTTCTATATGAAATGCATAAGTGCTGAACTATAGACAGGATTTCTATATGACGTGCATAAGTGCAGAACTATAAGCAGGATTTCTATGTGAAATGCATAAGTGCAAAACTAGAGACAGGATTTCTATATGACATGCATAAGTGAAGAACTATAAGCAGGATTTCTATATGATATGCATAGATGAAAAGCAGGATGAGATTGCAGGAATAAACACCTAAGAACATGATGTCTACCCACATGCATACATGAGTGACCCTCCCATAAGTTATTACAAATTATTACAACCCAGAATGAATAAAGGAAAGCAAAATTACATCAGAAATTAAAGTACCACCAAGGAGAGCCTAATTTAGACTCCAAGTCTGAAACATGAAATAAACCAACTCCAATGATCTGATTTCCAAAGCCTTTCTCATTTTTGGGTGTGTTAGAGTTCCCAGGAGCTTCATGAACTCCGGGCAGTGCTTACACCCAAATAAATTGCACAATTGAATTAAAGTGCAGTGTGGAAGGGCCAGCCCTCAGATGTCCAAGTTCAGATGGAACTCAAGGTCCCAAAGCAAGGCCCATAGGAGGGGGGCAGAACTTAGAAACTAGGAATGAGTGTAAGTGCAATAGAGGGGATTATGGGAAGGCCATGGCAGGCTGGTGGTCATACCCAGCAATTAGGAGTGCTGGCACACCCCTGACCAGCCTGTTAGCCATATTCGTTTGGGAGTTAGGATCCATTAAGGATCGGGTCCAAACATGAGCGGCAATTTGGATACTGCCATGCCTGAACCTTAACTTAAACACATAGAGGGAATAGGGGTATAGGGATTCACAGCGGAAAATAGGTGCAAAGAGAATAATATACAAATTAATCAATGAGCATGGACAGTAAAGTAAACAGGATTGCAGAAGCTGTAAATAAACACATTGGTGTGATGGATGAAACTAAATTAGGACATACCAGTTTTAGAAGTAAGCAGAGAAAAAGTAGT